TAAGTATGGAGATAAGAAAAAAAATTGTCCTGAAATATAGTCCTAATTCAAATCCAATCATCTGTAGTCTTTCTTTTTTGGGGGGAGCGGAGGGTACTGGAGACTAAATCCAGGGATGCTTAAACACTGAGTCACATCACAACCCATTATTATTATTATTATTATTATTATTATTATTATTATTATTTATTTATTTATTTTGAGTCGGGATATTGACAAGTTGTTTAGAGCCTCACTAATCTGTTGAGGCTGGTCTCAAACTTGTTATACTCCTGCCTTGGCTTCCCTAGTCAATAGGATTACAGATGTGTGCCACCATGCCTGGCTTCATCTATAGATTTCTATTCTTTCTCAATACTAACCAATAGAAATATAATGTGAGCCATACATGCAATTCTAATGTTTCAGCAACTGCATTAAAAATAATTAATTGCAATTGATATTAATAGCATATTTTAACTTAATATATAAGCATTATTATATGTAATAAATATTAAGTATTACTAAAATAACTTATACTTTTCTAACTTAGTCTTTAAAATCTGATATAATTTATATTTACAGGAAATCTTAATTTTGATGTTAATTTTTCATTGAATCTATACTTATAAGTCCATAAATTTAGCTTAAAAATGTAGATTTATTCTGATCAAATTGTCTAAACACACTTAAAAGTTTTCAAATAACTAAAATAGTTTTTAAGTTTACATTTAATTAATGTAAATTAAATAAAATGAAATATTCAGGTCTTTTTGCAATATCTATCTTTCAATTATTTGAAAACCACATGTGTATTGAACATCATATCTCTGAATGTTGCTATTAAATAAAATGCATTTCTCAGAAAAACTAAACTTCTTAATCTCAGATAAATTGAATGGATGCCATTCTGCCCAATTTAGTCATCAAATACATTAATTTTCCTTGCAATTAGTTTTTACTTACACTGCCTAAAAGTACCTCAAATTCCCTTCTCATTTATTTATGACCTTTACCAATTATTCTGCTTTATACACATTATAAAACCAGCATGAACACCGCTTTGGAATTTTTATTCACTGTACATTGGAATTTCATTCACATATGTATAAAGACCTTCAATAGCTTAAATTGATTAAAATGTCAGGTATCAGTCACACTTGACCTCTGATTTGTTTCAAAGCATGACTTAAAATGCATTTTTATTCTTGGCAATCTCATTTTGTTTCCGCTTTTTCTATTTTGTTTTTGTGTTTTATAACTTTAGCAGTTGAGCTTCATCAGGAATGGACTAAGAAAACTGGCTTAAGAAATAAATGTTTCACAAATTCATTTCTACACTAGTGCTTCTGTACTGACTTAATGTTTTACTTTTGGAAACTGTTTACCATAAATGATGAATTAACAGTTTGAAATGAAATTCCAAATCTGACTGTAAACATTAAGTACATGCTGGCAAATAAGTGTGTGGGATTGCTGGAATAGAATAGTTTGTTTAAACTCAAAAAATTAAATTAAGGAACCATCTTACAGTAACATACCACATAAGACAAAACTAGAGTGAATAAAATAGAAAAGAGAAAATCAATTATGATTCAATAATGCCACTTTCCCGATCAACTAGAAATTATCAAAAGTGCATTTTTTACAGGAAGTTTGATGGCATAATTTTTTGAGTTTTTAATCTGTGAATATTAAGTAGGCTAATTTAATTATGACAGAAAGTACAACAATCAGAATCACCTGAGAGAGAAACATTCATTTTTCCGGGAACATTAAAATTATCTCAAAGCATTTTTATATCATAATTTTAAGTTGTTCTCTTATTATTGTCTATCAACAAACACAGTTTTTCCAAACTTGCATAGAAACCTTAATTTAAGGTGGAATAAAAGAAATGAAATTACAATGATTGTTGTAATTTTTGGTAAATTATGGTTGTAAAATGCTCAATTATCTGACATTAATCCAGAAAATAATACAATGAGAAGGCTTTTGTATATGTTCAACAGGCCTTTCCATAATAGAATTTTGATAATAATTTTTGTTTTAATGAGTTTGAGAAGAATTGGGAACGTTTAGAAGTTGTACTTCTGTTTTTTTTTTAATTCCTTTATGTATCTAACTAAACAATTTATTTGCATGTTTATTTTAGCTGTTACTACATTTTTTTTCTTTATACCATGCAATGCCATTTTAAACTTAGAGCAGTTGCTTTTGTGCCTGGCTAGTTTAGCTTGTGGAGTCAAAATATTAATGCAAACAATGGCATGGATTTGAATATTTTATTGTTTTTGTCCCTTTATATAATGCTGACAGAATAACACCATAATTCAAACAGTTATCTTATGTCGGAACCGCCCTCCGACAGAGGTTGAGGAGAATCACTAGACCAGCTAGTGAGTGTCTCCTGTCTGAGCAAGAGGGTAAGTGTCGCAACCGGGCCCACCAACCAGCCTGGCAAAAATCACAGGGAGTCAGGAGTTGAGTCAGCGGAGATGGCGCAGCAACTCAGTTTATTGTGAGGGAGAGGACTTATATAGAGAGAGGAGAAGAGAAGTGGGGGCAAAGGCAGGGGCCAATCAGAGATCGGAGAGTCCCTCAGATTGGGGTAGCCTAGGCACCCCAGTTACAGAAACAACACCCCATTAGGTATGTGTGCCCCGTTGCTGGGGAGTTATTCTTTGTGTTTGCGGAAGCCATATCTTGGGGTTGTTCAGGCAAGTATATGGAAGCCATTTCTCAAGCTCTAACTGTCATGTACATGGAGAATCACAAAACCAGAATCACAAGACTGGGGATTTCCCAACAGTGGTTTTTCTTCCTCTTTCCCCAGCGATTGCACTTCCATGGTCAGCAGAGGTCCCAACAATCTTATGAATATATACCTTGACTAAAAACATGTATGTTTTTGTCAGCATTTTCGTTTTTGTGGTCAAAAAAACTTGACAAGAACACATAGAGGAGAAAAAGTTTATTTGAGGTTACCTTTTCAGAGGTCTCATTTCATACACAACTGACTCCATTGTTCTGGGCCCAAAGTGAGGCATAACATCATGGTAGAAGGGCATAGAGAAGGAAAGCAGGATGACAATCAGAAAGGAGGGGGTGTGGCCAGGAGGGAGTACTGTGCAGTGCTGTGCTTACCAGGGACAAAATGTAAACCCCCAAAGCCACGCTCTAGTGATCTACCTCTTCCAGCCACACCCTACCTCCTTACAGTTGGAAACCAGTTAATCCACATCAGTGGATCAATGCACTGATTAGATAAAGTCTTTCATAAACCAATAATTTCACCTCTGAAGATTCTTTCATTGTCTGACACATAAGCGCTTGAGCGACACTTCATATATAACACATAACAATGTACCTTTGTACCTTATGTGAAAATGTCTTTGTAAAGAGAGCAAAACTACACAAATGACTGTGATAATTTTTGATTACTAATAGGTTTATTCATGCATAGACTTGCATGAATAATGTACTTTACAGGGAGCCCCAGAAGATTTGTATATGAAACTGTCCTGCTCCCATGTTTGGCACTGTTCTGTTTAGAGGGGTATACAATAAGCCACATCCTCACTGGTTTCTCACCCCTGGGTCTACCTCAGTTGAGTGTGGACTACAGTACTTCTTTCTAAGACTCATGATTCTCAGTCTGGTTTCTACCTGGTTTGGATATGAGCTCCAAAGAGTTCTCTGAATATCTGAGAGTTGTTAACTTAGATGGGGAAACACATTTCTGGTAGTTAATTTAAAGGAATAGTTGCTTACATAGGTGTGTTCAATACCCCTTATTCTCCCTACATGTTTCTTACTGCTTCCCAAGTCCCTAATACAGAGGTTCTCAGCATGCTTTTTACCCAGAACACTGTGTGTGAGAGAGGGAGAATACACATAGATTAGTAATTCACTCTAACCACGTAGAGGATAATTTCCACTTTGGACTCAGACAAAACAAAATTTGAATACAAATTTTATTGTATTTTACGTATGTAACCATAATATGTTTTACTGTCTAACTCCAAGGAATTCCATCTCTAAAATTGTGATAATATTTGTTCATAAATCTGCTTGAAGTCTGGGAAGGTGGCTCAGTGGTTGAACAATTACATAGCACACATGGGTGTGATCCCCACGACTGCAAAATAAAAAAATAAATCTGTCTCTAAAGCAGAAAAATATTTATTAAAGCAATTTAAATGATATTTCCACATTATAAATTCAATACAATTATTTACTAATTTAATGCCAACATATTACTGTTATTAACAAGTATAAAAATAAAATTACTTTCTATGACATAAAATTGATTTGGCCTTTATTATTCTGAATATATACATAAGTCTTTATATAAGAAATTTTAAATAATTTGCATGTAAATGAAGCCTGATTCCACTTGAGCTCTTTTGCATATTTTATTTATTGTGAATGAGAAAACACAAAAATATTTTTAATGCTGAATGTGATCATGGAAAAGTTACTAAAAGTTAACCATATTATAACAAATGTATAGTATAACATCCATAACTATTAAATTTTAGGAATTTTATCTGACTCATTACATATTCCAATAATTATAGAAATAAACCAGTTCTAAATGTAATTTTGTCTCATATTGTCCATATTACCTCTTATTTAATCTGTATGAGACACCTTATAATTTGGTATTTTCTAAAGATAGAAACATCAGACAAACATATTTGATTTCAGTCATTTTTTTACTAATATTAAATATCAATAAAATGGAGCTTTTAAAATGCCACAATAAAAGAATGATGAAATATATTTCCGAATTTACTTGAATTTTATAGACATTTTCTTTGGAGAATTTAATTTGTATAAATAATAGTTATGACCTATCATTCTCACCTTTAAAACTGTCCAGCAAAAATAAAATGTGATGTTACAATTCTCTTACAGTTAAATTATGTAGCCATCATCTAGACTATAAAGTATGTTCTGTTTCCTCAAATCTTGCTTGATTTACTATTTTTGTGTTTAATTTTCTTTTCTATCAGACAAAAACTGCAGCAGATATTGACAAGTGTATGTCCAAAAGCTGTAAAACTCGAGGTGTAGGATTTTACTATAGTTGTCTACCAGGTAAATAATCAGACATTTATATATTTGAGGCCTATGAAATGAACTTTCTTTCAAATGAATGTTTTTCAATTCACTGGAGTTTAGCTCTAATGTGTTAACAACTCTCTAAGAGTTCTTATAATCTCCATAGAAATATTAGACTGTGAAAAAGACACATTTAGTTTTCCATGCATTTCTAGAACTATATCAAAAATTCAGCAACTAGGGCTGTATAAACCTGGTATCATAGCAGCCTTTTGAACTAAGACAAATAGTAACACAATATTTAGGAAATTCATTGTAAGCTCTTAATTGTAGAATTTCTTCAGAGATTGTTAATGTTTATTTCTCTTTTTTTTCTATTAAAAAGTTTGAGTAAACATGTGCCTATGTCAGCACATAAATTATCTAGAACTATGTAAAAAGATGTTAATTGATATAAGTAAAAGAACCATAGATGTTTATTTAAGATTTCCATCCTCTAAACAATCCTTAATAAATTGAAGGTGAAAAGTTTTATAATAAGTTGTTGGTGACTCTAAAAACATTTAATAAATGTGAATCCATGTGGGCAGTGTTTTACTACATCCTAGCATCACTGCATTGTACAAGTGAGTAGAAAAATATTAAGTCCTTGATTTTTAATACATGCACTCAAATTCCTGGTTGGATATAAACATAGTCTGAAACCTTCTGAAATGTTCAAAACAGTGACTAAGAACTCATGTTCTCAACTTTAATTCCTCCTACAAATATACTTAATATAACAAGAAGATAGCTTGAGAAACACAACATGAAATGAAAATTATATACATTTTTTTAGGCAGTGATTTTTAGTGTAATTATATACAGTGACTTCTTGCTTATACCAAGTGATTTTAATATCTCCTCAAGGTCTTCATCTGTGGAAATTACTTAAACTATTAGCTAATACGCCTTAGTTCTTATAGTAAGTTTGTCTGAACATTTATTCTGCTTTTCCTGCGTGCAATGGTCGCATGTCAGTCTACCAAGTCATATTTCTCTCTTAAAACAGAGGCCTGAATTTATCTGGCACCGTATTCAATTATATTCCTTCAAACTTTCTAACTTAAAACCCTCTCTAAAGAATTCCTCTGTCGCACAGAGCAGCTTCTTTCTTTGCACTGTTCATTTCTATGATCTGTCTTTGCCATGGATGCTATTGCTATGCTATCATTTTGTGCCCACTGCCTCACTGTTGGGAATGTTGTTATAAATTCTGTTCCTGTGTGGGAAGTGGAAGTCTCTTGTTGCAATTTAACCTGAAAAGAAATTTAACAATATGTCTTTTATAAGATTTTTAAGTTTTCTTAAACAATGACCCAGAGGAGTTTTTATTTAATAACATTTTACCTTATGGTTTCTCCAAGTTCTCACAAGGACCTTGAGTAGAAGCAGACATGTTCATAAAGCACTGAGGAAAAGGTTGTATGAAATTCACTCAGAAAATCATTTAGGAGTTGCAATACAAGTGAAAACACAATTTTGTGTTGTTATATCCATGATGAACCTGAGATTTCCATGTTGGTCTAATCATAGATGCTGAAGAAATGAATAATTACAGAGTTCAGAGACAATACTTGCCATGGTATCAGGAAATTCCAGTCTCAAAGAAAATTGTACATCTCCAATTTTCAGAAAAAAATCTAGTTTTGTATTTTCATTTTTTATTGATGAAATACATAAAATCACATAAAATTAATGTATGTCTTAACAAGATCTTATTAGGTGAACAAAATAACAACCACCAGGTGAACAAAAGAACTTTACCAGATATAGTTGAAGATCTCTATATGCCCTATGACAATACAAACCCCTCCTTTTTGACACCAGAAATGATACCAGTGTTGAAAATTGGGATCCAGGTGTTACCGATGTTGACCGGTGAGGAGTCCTTGCTTCCCCAGTGTTGAAGAATAACGCCAGAGAAGCACATCGAGGCAAGGTCAGAGTGGAAAGTAGAAGCTTTATTAAAGGACAGCAGAAACGACTTCTCCTGGAGGAAGAAGGGGACCCAAGAGATGGAATCCATTGAAGGACAAATGTGTTCCCCTTTTTATAGTTCTTTCAATGATGGAATGTAGGTGGGAAGGCCTGAAGGGTGGGACACAGGTGGTCCAAAGAAATGATCTGGGCAGGAAGGACTTTTAAGTCAGCATCTTCAAGTTTGCTGGGAGCTGTTCATTAACACTTCTTTGGGATGGGCTCTGGGCCTTGGGGACATTAACATGAGTTGTCCTGGTTTCCTGGACTTCATTAACATTCCAAGAGTTGTTCAGCTTTTCCCGGAATTCATTCTCAACATGGCCTCCATTTTGGATCTTACTAGATATTAGACCTGATTTACCTAACTACACTGACTACCTAACTTTAAATCTGGCTTCACAGGTCCCCTGGTGTTGAAGATTGAAAGCTTGAGAAACACTAAGGCAAGAGCAAAAAGTTTTATTTTTCAAACAGAGAGAAAGAGAAGAGGAACTCCTCTTCAGAGGAGGGGATCCAAAGCTAGTGTCCCAGGGAATGGGAGTGTCCTGCCCCTTTTATAGGTCTTAAGTTTCCTTTCTTCTCTTGCCCTCTCCTCTTCTTACCTTGCCCAAGTGATCAAAAGGTAGATAAAACAAAAGGCAGGAAAGGAGCTGTCCAGGTGTACAGGCAGGAAGGGAGACACTCAGAAGGCATTCATTAACAACTCCTTGCTGGGAGGAACAATTCCCTGGAGCCAGGTAACCTTGGTAACTGGTTGTTAGAGGTGGGATGTACTCTGGAGGTATTAGCATTTTATTTCCTTTTGAATCACCCAAATCTTCCTGACCCAATCATTTATTTTTTACACTGACTGTTCTTTTTCCCCCTCACTTTCCACAAAAGTAACTCAAATGAATTATATAGAAAAAATTAGTTGCTTTTCCAATATATTTTTTTGAAATGCTTATTTCCTGACACCAGAGTTTAGTTGTATGTCTTTTAAAAATGTGTTTTTAAAGTAAATGGAAAAATTACATTCTTTTCTGGAACTGCCAATTCAAATCCAGAATTTCTGGCAGTCTCTAATTTACAATGGTCTGACTTTTGATATTTTGACTTTAAAACAGTACAAAGCTGGGCTGGGAATATAGATCAGTGGTAGAATGCCTGCCTAGCATGTGGAAGGCCCTGGGTTTGGTCCACCTATGCCCAAGGGGAAAAAAAAATACTAAAAAAAACTATGTGCGTTCAGAAGAAAATGCACTTCATAATTTGAATTTTGGTCTTGTCCTGGGCTAGCAGTATGTAATATATGGCAGGATACTCTGTACTGCACACCAGCACTGAACTGCTGCTCCCAGCCATTCTCACAGTCATGGGGGTCAGTATTCTGAGTGCATTCAGGGTAGACCTAGTAAAGTTTGATACATTTAATTTTAAATGTACTCTCAATTTGTGATATTTTCAATTTAAATGAGATTTAGTGTTTTCTGTTATTTGTGTTCATTTAGGCATTTTCACTGTCTATAAGGATACTTTCATGTTTCTGATTCTTTGTGTTTTAATAATTTTTTATTTAAGTGAAACGTGCTGTTTTATTTTTGCTCATTTTCATACATTAATAGCCTTTCTGGTATTTAAAAAGAGACAGAGTTCAGGGTAGCTCCTTTCTGTTCACAGGGCTCTGTTCATGGTTTTGTTTATTAATTGATTATTGTTTCAGTATATGGTGGCTTGCCAGCCGAAGTCTCAGATTTGTTCCCAGACCCCAGTTTCTCAAATCTTTCTTTCTATTTTCCCTATTCTGCTCAATTTCTATTTTATGCTCAGCATTTTCTCCCTGTAGGTGATGTCTTGTTTTGAAAGAGACCTTTGGCAGCTTAATTGTGTGAGTTTATAGGAATACATTTACCTGGAGAATTTAAATCTTACACACACACACACACACACTCACACACACACATATAAATGGTGCACCATATGGTATATCTCTTGGTATATCTATATATTGTATATTGTTTAAATCAGGTTAAACATATCTGCATATCTGTCTCCTTAATCATCAATCATTTCCTCATGTTGAAAATATTCAATATCTTTCGTTGTAACTTTTCAAGATATATAGTACATAAATGTTTTTTTTAAAGAGAGAGAGAAAGAGAGAGAGAGAGAGAGAGAGAGAGAGAGAGAGAGAGAGAATTTTTTAATATTTATTTTTTAGTTCTCAGTGGACACAACATCTTTGTTTGTATGTGGTGCTGAGGATCGAACCCGGGCCGCACACATGCCAGGCGAGCGCACTACCACTTGAGCCACATCCCCAGCCCCAATAGTACATAAATGTTATCCATAGCAACATCATTATGCAATATCATGCCAGAACTTCTTGCTACTAACTGTAATTTAGTCCCCAATCCCTCCTCCTGTCCTACAATCCTTGTCATTCTCTTTTCAGCCTATATGAGATCAATTTTTTAGGTTCTACATATGGGTGAGATCAGCCAGTACTAGTCTGTGAAGCTTATCTTATTTAATGTAATGATCTCTAGTTTCATCCATGTTGTCACATATTACAGAATATCATTCCATTTTCCATTGCTTGTCCATTATTAATAGTGCTAAAATAAACTTGGGAGTGTAGATGTCTCTTCAGCAGAATGACTGTATCTCTTTTGGCTTATACCCAGAAGTGAGGTTGCTGAATCACATAGATAGTTCCTTTTTACTTTTTGGAAGGATCCCATGATAATTTACATTCTCATCAACAGTGTGCAAGGCTTCACTTTTTTCCACACCTTTTACCAGCAGGTGTTATCTTTATTATCTTTATTCTTTTTGATAGTAGCCATTCCTAGTAGGGTGAGGTGATAGCTCCCAGTGGTTTGATTTGCATATTCTTGGTAATTAGTGATGTTGAACATTTTTTTTCATGTACCTGTCTGACACTTTTATGTCTTCTTGTAAGAAATGTCTAGTTATGTCTATTTTCCATTTTTAAATTGAGTTATTTGTGCTGTTTGTTTTATTGGCTATTGAGTTTTGGGGAGTGCAAAGAGTATATTGACCCCTTGTCAAATGTGTACTTTGCAAATATATTCTCCAATTCTATAGGTTGCCTCTTCATTCTGATGCGAATTTTATTTATCTATTTAAATTTATTTTCCTGAGAAGATAAATAAATAAATATATACATTTTAAAATTTTTAATGCAATCCCATTTATTTTATTTTTTTTTTCATGTACTTTTGGAGATTTATCCAAAAAGAATCCTTCTCATTCCAATGTCCTAAAACATTCCATGTTTTCACTCAGTACTTTCAGAATTTCAGGACTTAACATTTAAGTCTTGAATCCAGTTTGAGTTGATTTTTGTAACTGGTGAAAAGTATATATCTAGTTTCATTTTTCTGCATGTGTATGTCTAATTTTCTCAGCACTACTTGTAAAGACTGTTCTTTTCATCAGTACATGTTTTTAGCACTTTTATTGAAAATCTGTTCTTCTCTTGTACTCACATATTACAGTAGTACAAGAAGTCCTTTCAAGTTCTACTCTCTTCTCAGGTTGCCTTTCTATGCTTGCCAGAGTATGTGAAAGCTATTTGAGGGTTCTGTTTTCCTTGTTCAAATTATGGATGTGATTCTATCCATTCTCTAGACCCTGACTGATGCACTCATTGATTTCAGGCTGCAATACTATTTCATACATTCTAAAGCACATTTTTTTGTTCATAGTCTATCATTTCTAAAACCAGACAGCCAACAGTTGATAGTGGGTTTATCATGTTTGTGTTACATCTAGCATATATCTCATTAAATATGATAGTTTTTTTTTGCTATAATCTCTGTCCTAAAATCTAATTTTCATGGCCTAAAAGTATATAATTATTTTATTGTGTCCACATACTCAGAAGAAATATACTGTCCTTGGGTGGAAACATTTATTTTAATACTGATTTTATAAATTACTTGCTGGAAGACTTTAGATCAATCTAGAAATTAAAAATTTCAACTGAATTTTCCACACAAATTTCTTTACCTCTTTTTGAGTGTATGTAGCTTTCTCTTTCTCTAATTAATTATGTTTCTTTCCTCTTTCTGATCCAACAGACATAGATCATTAGGATTTATGTAATAAGAATAGATATCAAACTTTTAAAATATATTGACATTTTCTTCCTTAAAAGACCATTTTCATAAACTGTTTAAAAGTAGGGTTAGGAAATAGAGCATGAACTTTCTCTTCTCTGTCCTTTTAGGAATACAAATTCTCCACACTAAACATGACTTATCACAATTGAATGACCAGTCCCATTTGATATTCGTCCACAGTTAAGCAGATATTTTTAGCTCATCTCCCAATTGTTGTATGCACAGTATCTCATTAGTACCTTCAAAGTGCATTTGTAACTATTTGTGAATGAATAAATACTTTCACTACAGTGAGATTAGTGTATGATTAGCAAGTGTCTCCTAAGAAAGGAACTGATTTGAAAGCATAAAATCAAACCAATTTAGATAGCTTCCCTGATGAATTCAAGCTTGAATCAATTTGTACTCAGTCTTTTGAATGTGTTGTAATTTTGACTAAAAACTGAAACGAGATTATTTCTGTAAATCTAATATCTCCTTTCTGAAGTGCTCTCTGATATAAAGTCTACTGTACCATGAAATAGGTCTGTTGTACTTTTCCTTTCAAGTCTGATGGCATGCCTAATAAACTCCTGCTTCATTATATAGTAAAAGTACTCATTTCTGAGACTAAGCATTATAGGAAAATGGGTTTCCATATTGTTATTCCACCTGATAGACTATTAGAAAATCTGCAAGTGTATAATTACCAAGAGTAATCTTGTTATTACCAATTGTTCATGACCTGGAAATAGGTTCAAATTTGCTAACAGTACAATCAGAGATAATTTCTAACATTTAAGTAGCTCATAGCTTTAAAAACTTACATAATTTCACTAAATTCATCTTATCAGTTATAATAACAATGTTCATGTTTGAACAATGACAAAAGTAACATTTAATTAGAACACTTATATTATTTTATTAATGATGTATTAATATGGGGTCCTGGGTGGGAACAAGAATAAAATGAGTTGATATTAACCCAAGTTTTTGTGCTGTTTTGGAAATGCCCTATCATCAACAATAGGTCCTTAGCCCTATTTTTCCACTGCAATTGAATTAATTGAACTAAAAAATTTGAAAAACAAATAAACAAAAGTAGTTAATCTGGTTATTTTGTATTAATGCCATTAAATTTTATCTATAAATATCCCCAAATAGCCAGTATCATGACATTTATTGGTTAGGTCCTTATAGAAATGAACATAGAAAAAGATGGAAGGAAAAGAAGACATTTAAAACTAAAACATGTGACATATTATTTTGTATGTTGTAAAAAAAATAGGAGTTTATAAGGCCCATCATCAGTTCTAAAAGTTTGATAAACATGAATGGCAATACTGTAAAGAGGAATTGATACTTATCTGACTTTGTGTATTTTCATTTAAAAGTTACTGCTTTCCAAAACACGAATTCTACATAAGTAGATCCTATGATTTATTCTTTAAGACTAAAAAAATTCAATCATCATTAACCAATCAAGAGCTTCTATGTAGCAATGCTAATATTTTTAGTCAACAAAATTTATCACAATTATGAGAACATTTTCAATTCATAACAAAGACCCTCTGATTTATTTGTGTATTCGTTTTCATCTGCTTTCTTAACTTATTCTCTCCATCATGTGATTAGATAATGTGCAGTCTCAGCACACATGGACTCTTGACCAGGACAAACAGGCCCAGTGGCTCCCTGAGGGCTCAATTGCCCAGGGAATCAAGTCAGCAGACAGTCAGCTTCTTCTAGGCCTAGCATCTGGGCTCTGTGGTAGAGTCTACATGTAGACATTAAGATTAAATAGCAAACTTTCTATCTAGACACATAAGGTAGACCCTTCCTTCCTGCCTATTCAACCCCTTTGTCTAAGGTATGAGGTATTTGCTTCTCAGCTTCCAAGGCATAAATTCACAGTTTTTACAATTCACTTCCATAGAATCAACAACTTTCAGGGTTTAGGACAAATTACAAAAGAATATAGAATATGAAGTATTTTAAATCACAGAATAAAGAAATTATAAAACACTTGAGATTACTATGTATGAAGCAGAACTGTTATTATCTGGATTGCTTTTTCATCAGTGAATCATTCCTAAAGTATGACTTCTCTGGGAGAAATGCATCACAGTTTGACTTGGCTTATGATGCAAGCAGTTTAAGACATATGAGTGAAATAATAATCATCAAGAAGCTGATATTAAATGTGGAAAAGGAAACCTTTTTTAAAAGTATATGTATTTTAAGGTGAATGGAATATAGTGCACTAGTGGAACACCATTGTGTTCAATCTGCAATAGTGTAAATACAAAAAAAAAGTTGTATGTATTAATGTAGATTTATCAATTAGAACAAATGCAATGCTTAGATGGTGGTGGTGTTCATGGGGGGTATTATGTGTGTGTGAGGGCAGAGGACAGAGGATACATGGGAATGCTCAGTACTTTCTGTCCATCATGGCTCTAAACCTAAAACTATTTAAACAATAAAATATGTAGAATGTTATTTTGTTTACCTAGAAACTCAGAATTTTAAAAACAATCATGAGTGTTATATTATTGGTTGTATTCAAATGAGGTATGCTTAATAATTTGATTGTCAAACATAGTTTACAGCTCACTGAGTCAAACAAATTTTATGTAAATTCCATCTACACTTTGGAATAAAAGCTCTAAAATCATATATATGTACCACTTCAATGCAACTTACTGTTGTCAGTCATGTGGAACACAGTTTGAAATTTTTAAAAATCAATCACATATAGGGCTGGGATTGTGACTCAGTGATAGAGCACTTGCCTAGAATGTATGAGGCACTGGGTTTAATCAGCAGCAGCACATGTAAATAAATAAATAAAATAAAGGTATTGTGTCCATCTACAACTAAAAAAAGATACTTTAAAAATCAATCACAAATTCTATTTCTGGCAATATTTTTAATACTCATTATATCACTTGGAATTTTAGAATTTTGTTAGTTATTCATCCAAAACTGGACTAAAAATAATTTTTGATATTTTGCAGACACAATGCCATTGTTATTTGTGTGTATTTAGTCACTGTTAATTTTTTATTAATTTAACAAATATTTTTGAGGATTAATATGTGTCAGTGGCAGGGATACTATAATGGATTTTCTTTTTGTAATCCTATATTTTTTCCATGAAAAATATACACACATATACAACTGACTTCTGTGGAAATTATAAACAGCAACAAATTTAGAAATGTCTACCTTTGATGGAATGAACAGGGAAGAAACTATCTTATATCATCTTTGATCAAGTATTTGAAAGTTAGGTGGATACTTTGTTGTTTTTTTAAAATATATTTTTTAGCTGTAAATGGATCTTTTATTTTATTTATTTACTTACATGTGGTGCTGAGGATTGAACCCAGGGCCTCACACATGACAGGCAAGTGTTATACCACTAAGCCACAACTCCAGCCCCTGGATGATGTTTTTGTAGATGATTCTGTGAGCTTTTCTTTCTTTCTTTTTTTTTTTTTTCCCAGCATAACTAGCATACCAATATTTTAAACATTTATCATTTCATTCTGGTACAACATTCAAAATCCTCTATTCTGGCTACTTTGAAATTAATAATACATGATCCGCATAGATTAAAGAGGATAAAAGGCAAGGAGCAAGAGAAAAGACTTGTCAATGAGTATAAAGTTAGCAGGAGTAACTTCACATATTCTCTGCATAGTAAGCCAAGTAAGTCAATAGTATGCGGTGTCCTTGTTTACTTCCCTGAAGTGCTCCACCTAGAACACCGTGCCTTAGAGGGTAAATATAAGGCTTAGGGAAAGTTGCAATAGTGATCAAGGCGTCATCTTGGCCTGCCAAGTTTCCCCTCTACAGATTTATGTTCATTGTACTCTAAGAGAGAATGTATATTAACACAGATATAATATGATTTAAAAACCAAGATTTGCCTGAAATTTTAAAGTGTCAAATTTGAAAATCAAAAAGCAGATAAATACCTTACTTGTTGATATCTTCTCAGACCCTTTTTATGTGTGAGACCATAAATCTCTATCCTTGTTAGTTAGGACTGCTTCAATAGACCATGTGAGAATTAGTCAGAAGGGGTAGAAAGCAAGTGAAGCCTGAAATAACTAAGATTTAATGACTTATTTATTTATTATTTTAGTAACATGAGCTGATAAGACTGTAGAATTCAGGTTGATTTAGGAAAACTGGTATCAGATATCTCAGAGATTTATTTGAGAAGACAAGACTGGGTGTAGGAATGAGGATGGATTTTACTAAGCCATCCATGTTTCTCAGACTTCACTAGAAAACCAGAAGATTATCATCTTAAGAATATAAATAAATACCTGGTTATTTTCTTTTGAAAGTTGAAAACTGAAGGATTGTATGAATCTTCCTAATATCTCGTCTGTCACAAGACAACTTTAAAGTTTCCTACAGCTTCACAATACTTTAGGCATGTTTCCTCCTGCCCTTGGTCCATGACCTTCTCAGACAACCACTTTAAACAATCCAAATGGCCTAAATACAGAGGTGTCTCCCCTTCCTATTTGAGAGCATTTACTTCAGAATCCATATTTTTAAAAGCTTTTCTCTGCCCTCAAAAAGCATTCATCTTTTTAAAATCCTCTTATCAGTTTTACACACACAAAACTACCTTCCTGAGGGAACTGTGTCCCATCTCTTTGAAATCATTAATAAAAATAGTACCTTTTCAGTAAGAGGTTAACATTAGTAAGCATCTGGATCCCAGTTGTAAAGCTGATTCCCATCTTGAAGATTGAGTAAAGTTATCTTTCTCTGGAGTAGAGCCAAATAGCAAACACATATAGCCTATGAGTTCTCCCAACTCCGTTCTTTAAAACTGTCTCATATGGGGGTCTATTCTTTCTCCTCCATTGTGATGGCTGTGAATAAAATCTGTGTTGTGTGTTTAACTTTGTAGGCAATGAGTTTTTACATTGGCAATAAGTATCTCAAAATTATGTGATCTTAAAGTTCCCACAAAGTTCTGAGAGCTTATTTTAATTATTTGTGTAAACACTGTTGTTTGCTAAAGCATGTGTCCTGGTGATTGCTGTCTTCATTAGAAAAGCCAAGCACCAGCTCCCACAGTATGTATTGGTGAGTATAATCTAAAACATTTTTCTAACCAATATTTATCAAAAGTTAAACTGAGGTATGGGAAAGTACCTTATAAGGAGGGTTGGAATCCTCTTATTCTTCAGATATTCCATGATACATTTCTAAACATAGTTAATTTTTTACAAATGTGTTTAATTCCTACAGAATTATTTTCCCTGGCTTGAATTTTGGTGTGTATGAAAACAGATTATATTGAAGGTATCTTTAACAAGCACTGATAATAAAAATCTTCTTTTAATATATGCATGAATATCTTAGAAAATTTACTCTTGTTCTTTATAGGAGGCCCCTCTAGCTGTATTTCTTTTTGGTCTTAGTGTCAAGAGCATTTGTTCTTTCTCATGAGTCAATAATATTTTTTATATAAAAAAAAAACTTGGATATAGTATATAATGGGCACACTTTTGCTCTTAAATCATGCTAGAAATATTAGAGCCATAATAATGGCCCAATGAAAGTGATAGGTCTTTAGGTATAGCATTTTTTTTTTACATTTTCTTGAGCTCACTTTATAAAACACACCACTTTTCACCTCCTCTATTTCCAACTTGAATCTAAGATTTCTCATTGATTTCATGTGCTTTCAGATTTTCTTCAAGAAAGGCCAGGCTGTTGTATAGACCTGGGCAGGTAGATGACTACAGGGATTGCTGATTTGTTATGATAATTAGAAGTCACCAAGAAATCTGGAATTCCTACTGCAGCTGCTTGGGGTTGATGCTTGATAGGTATCCTTAATTAAGATTTTATGGATTCAAGATACCTATAACAGCTAGCATGTTTACAGGAAGATGAAACCAGCAGAGATGAGGGGGGAAATGCATGATATTTGACAACCAAAGGAATCACTCTATGGACACACGAATTACAGAAATATGTAGGGTGATTTCATGGAATAAGAGATCCCATTAAAGTTTATGACATAAGAAATGAAAATTCCTACAGTAGATTACTTAAATTTGAGTTATATTTCTGTGACTTATCAGATGAGAGAAATAGAAAGCTGTATATGACCTCTATCCATTTAAGTTCCACTTTTAAAATGTAGACAAGAATATTACTTGTGTCAGGAAGTTTTTGTGGAATTGCAGAAATGGGTAGATGTAAACATATAAACACTGTGTAATTGTGGTCCATCTTGTTTGACCTAGATATGTATATATGTGGCTGTGTAACCAATGTGATTCTGCAACCTGTACACTTGGAAAAATGAGAAATTATACCCCATTTGATTCAAATGTATGATATGTCAAGATCATTGTATTGTCACGAGAAACTAATAAAAAAAGAAGAAGAAAAAGAAAGCCAATAATAATAATAATAATAATAATAATAAACTCTTGTTTGACCTAGATATATATAAACTCAGAAATGGGCAATTTCAGAGAACTTTATTGGGAAAATCCCTTGTATCTAAAATAACAGCACAAGATGTACAAAAACACCATGTTTTTTTATAGTTAAAGAAAGCAGTTTTTTTCTTTTTTTTAATAAGGTGGAAATCATGCTATCACCTTCATGGCATTTACCTATTGTATTCATGAGTGAACTGAATAAAAATGCCACCTGTAGGCTCTCCTGAAGATAGGTAACAAATATAGATATATATTTTTATTTCTTATATATATTTATTATATATATGATATGTATTAAATTTGTTAGAGATTGATAAGGATATTTCACCATTCTTTGGTTTTTAATATTTTCACAAAGGAGTTCATTTTCCTATATTTATTATTTATCTCTTGTTAAATCCCTTATTTTTGCTGGTATACTATTCATTACTTGTAATAAACCATTATTATAGAAAAATGTCTATTTATTCAAGTAGAGGCATTGGCTATAAATCAATCCTAAAAGATAGTGAAATGAGTTTGTTGTAATGATGAAACTTCTTTCTTTTGTCTGATTGAATAGTTTTCATGAAATATTATAAGAATGGTTGAACATATTACAGAAAAATATACTAGTCATTTTTATGAATTTCAAAAACTAACTTTGTTAATACCTATCTACTTACAATATTTTATAACAGAACATTTTTATAAATGTTACTAAAACAATTGCAACGTATCAAAAATTAAATAATGTTTTAAATCTCACAGATTTATAACAAACTAATTAAAATAATAATATTAAAATAATAAATAATAGAAGGGAAATTAGTATAGTAGAACAAGGAGTTCAGGGGAAGGTAGGAGGGGAGGGAAACGAAAGGTTCTGATGAGTGATATCAATCAAATTATGTTATGTGCCTATGTGATATCACATAATATCCCACTATTATGTATGATTATATGGATCAATAAAAAAGTTTGGTGAAAAAGGTGAGATTAATTAATGAATAAACACTTGGGAGGTCCACAGATACCTTAAACTAATGTGTACATTGAAATAAAATCAAAAGAGCTTCTAATAAAAAAACCATATTCCCAAACCAGATCTTACCTTCAAGTCTGACATAAGAAAACTCTTTTTAATTTGTTCTTTATAGATATATATGGCAGTAGAATTTATTTTTGCATATTATAAATACATGAAATATATTTATAACTTATTCTAAGTTGGATACTATACTTGTTGTTATACATGATGCAGAGTTACTCTGGCTGTATATTACAATTCAAGGTTAGAAAAGATATGTCTGATTAATTCTATATTCCTTGTTCCTATTTTCCCTCCCCAACTTTCCTTCATTCCCACTGTGTAATCTAATCTTCTTCCCCTCCCCATCTTCCTTTGTTGTGTATTAGCATCCACATATCAGAGAAAATATTTGGCCTTTGGTTTGGAGTAACTGGCTTATTTTCACTTAGCATGATATTTTCCAGTTGTATCCATTTACCAGTAAATGCCATAATTTCATTCTTATTTATGACTGAGTAATAATCCATTGTGTATACACACCACATTTCTTTATCTATTCATCTGCTGAAGGACACCTAGGTTGGTTCTGTAGGTTGGCTATTGTGAATTGAGCTATTATAAACATTGATGTGGCTGCATCACTGTAATATGCTGATTTTAAGTCCTTTGGGTATAGACCAAGGAGTGGAATAACTGTATCACATGTGGTTCTATTCTAAGTTTTCTGAGAAATCTCCATACTGCTTTTCAGAGTGGTTTCACCAATTTGCATTCCCACCAGTAGTGTTTGAGTGTACCTTTTTCCCCATATCCTCACCAACATTTACTGTCATTCTGAGTAAAGTGAGATGAAATTCCAGTGTAGTTTTAATTTGCATTTCTCTAATTGCTAGAGATGTTGAATATTTTTTCATATATTTGTTGACCAATCATACTTGTTCTGTGAAGTGTCTGTTCAGTTCCTTTGCCCATTTATTGATTGGGTATTTGGTTTTTTGTTAAGTTTTTTGAGTTCTTTATATATCCTGGAGATTAAGATATATCACTGGCACCTAAGATAGAGAACTACAGACTTTCTCCCATTCTTTAGGCTCTCTGTCCATATTCCTGATTGTATCCTTTTCTGTGAAGAAGATTTTTAGTTGGATACCATCCCATTTATTGATTCTTGATTTTACTTCTTCAGAAGAAATATTTGTAAATAGTTCCTTGTTTCATTTCCTCTGTTACTTCTTTAATTTGCTTATATATCCATCTTGAAATTTGTGATACAATTACGTATGTTATTTGTTGGCTGTTCAATGTGAAAGATAAATCTTTTCTCACTTATCACTGAAACCACCTTTCCTCAATTTTCTCTCAATAGTTCGTATTGTTGATTATTATTAATTTAATTATATCACTAAATTAAATATTAATTTAATTCTGTCAACCACATTAACTTAATGCATTAAATTTTATTTTTTAATAAAATATACATAATTTATCTTGGATTTTATTAATTTAAAAATATAGGTGACTTTACTATTCTACCTACCTCTCTACCAGTTCATCCTTTCTACCTACCAGACTCTATCACCTAGACTTTGCATTTATATTATCATTATCTGACTTTATTACATTCAATTATATTAATGTGAGTATATTTAAGTGTTCTCTGCTTTATCTAAGAGTTTAAAAAGTGATATCCAGCCATCAACATTTACATTATTTTAAATATATAAATATTAACAGAAAAATTAAAGCTAAAATTTCATATTTGTTTTCCAAAGTTTCCTATTTTGCAACTTACAACTATTTGAAGACCAATATTTTATGTCTTCAGGCAGAAGAGGATATGCATTTTACTAAGAAATAAGAGCTTAATATATTAAGTTAATGTAGTCAACAGAAGAATTCTCCAGAAGAATATTTGAATATTTAATTTCTGCAATTTTTTTATTCTCTAGAATGTTTGAATATAAAATATATGTTAGAATTGCTTTACTACATATTAATCTAGGCACAAAAATAGATATATTTAGTTTTCAATACCTATTTTTACTGTTGTAATTAACTGGGTATGTAATTGTGACTTCTTTTCTTACAAGTTTGATGCATAATATACATGACCGAATAAATACATTGAAGTTTTAATAAGAATTCATTCACTTTCATATATGTTTTTAATTTTTTCTCCCTCAACTTAACTTAATGTTCTATAGTTGAATTTCCATTTGCCTTTTCATTTTTTTTAACTGTAAAACCATTTGTGTTTTTATTACTTTGTGTTTTATTTTCATTTTGTTGGTGATAAAAGCAGCATTTCCAATGTAGTTTAGTATGATCATTCCTATTTAGCTGAAAATTATACATTTTTCCTCCTGCCCAACTTATTGTCACTATTTTAGATAACTTTTAACAATAGAGGTAATATATCTATTCATATCATTTGTGAATAATTTGTATCATATGTCAATGTCAATTTTTCTTCTCTTGCTGTAAATTAATAAGAAAACTACCTGTCATTATTTATAAGAGTCAATTTAGTGTCAGTTTAGGTTATGCTTTTTAACTCAGGAAATTAACAATCTAAGTGTTGTAATATGGAAGGTCAAATTTATCAAAATAAGTTAAGGGTGCAATAATAATGGAAAACCTGAAACAGAGAACTGGGCCAAAGAAAATACTAAGACAATATAGTTAATGTATATTTCCTTTTTTTTTCTTCCACATAGTCTTAATTTGTGAAATTTATAGAAAGACATGTGATTCATCATCCTGGCTCCATAACATGTATAAAGCTCACGGGTAGATCCAAATGTCCCTGTTCCATGGATTCATGACTAAATAGCATTTAATAACTGTGGCTTACAAAGAACATTTTGCCTTCAGTGATATACATAAAAATGCTATTGATTCACCATTATATCTATCTCATTAATTTTTATTATCTATATCCTAACATTTGATTTCTTTCCCAATAATTTGAATCATCTATTCCATTCTAGACTCTGAAGCATAAGACAAAGTAGTTAATATCCACGAAGACTTTGAATGCCTACAAACTCCAAGATGTGTCTGCATATTAGTTCTAGTAAGAATTAGTTTCAAATAAGGTGAAATAAGTGAGTTCTGACAATAATATATGACATTCCTTTCTAATGAATTTAGTCTTAGTTAATTCCCCTAAATAGATTAATGTGCTTGGGAAATTTTAAGAATCATAACTGTAACCTGCTTGCCTTATTAAAACTTCACATAATTTTCATTATTTTTCAAGTTACAAGATGTGAAACATACTAATGAGTATGCCTCACAGCCCTTTAAGAAAGCAGCCACCTGCATTGACCAACCAGGTAATTATTTCTGCCAATACATAGTTCCATTTAAAGGTAATGAACACCAAGGGAGAAGAAAAAGCAAACATAATTAACTCTTTAAAAAGCATTTCTATCTCTATTCTGAACTCATTTCAGTCTCCCAACAACATTATTAGTCCTTCATTTTCTTAAAGATAGTTTCTAAAATGACCAACCAATTATCCTTTAGGCAGAAACTAGAGTGAAATAAGCTTCTTTATACATCCATAAAAACAGTTGTGTTTCTTTTTTTTTTCTTTTAGAAAGGCCATCAAAGAAACCAAATAATACAATGAAAACTGAAGTCTATTATAGTCTATCTTATTTTATTTGAAATATTTCCCCCATTAGCAAATGTAAATGGAGAGCTTTTCTTTTCTTATTTCCCCCTAAACTAATCATTTAAATCTTTGAATGTAGCCATAGTTAGTTTGATACACATTGTTATTCAGCTTCCTGTTATTATAACTGTTACCTGAGATAATCAAGTTACAAAGAAAAAAGATTTGCAGCCTCCCTTTGTGATTTTCAGTCCATGATCAATTGGCCTCACTGCTTTTGGGCCTGTAGCAAGACAGCACATCATGAGCACCGGTGTGGCAGAGGAAAGATTGTTCACCTCATGACTTGGTCTTGAAGAGGAACTGGAAGAAGATGTGGCTGGGGTACATTATCTCCTTCAAGGACATGCTTAAATCCACAAGAAGGCCTCCTACTAGGTCTCACCTCTTTAAGTTTTGCTGTCTTTCCATTGCACCAACCTAGGGCCCAAGCATTTAATATATGAGACTTTGGGAGACACTTATCCTAACCACTGCATATGCTAAGCCAATCATGGATATTTTTTATTTACTATCAGGTTTGATTTTTAACTCTTTACCTTCAGTAAAAGTATTTCATTTTTTTCAAAAATCTGAAAATTCTTATTTTGCCTTATAAAAACCTATTTATAAACTATTCTACAAGATAGTATATTCAAAGTTACTCACTGAATATTTCCTTCAGTGTTAGTATCTTTATCCCAGGCCATGAAACTTGAAAACTTTTCAACTAAATTGATTTAGACATTTTTAAATGTTAAACCTATTTATTTTGAACATTATTTTATTAAAACTACTTATCAAAAATTGAAGATTATACAATCCTCTTCATATGTTTAGCATGCAGTTAAACTAAGTTATAGTTTTCTTAGATGTTGAATTGAAATAAAAATATATTTACCTCATTGAATTAAATATAGATAAATTACTGAGGTGTATGATAAAAATACCGTGTTGCCTGCCAAAACTAATACTTATTGTTTAATTGTAATTTCTATGTGATATTCACATAATAGGAAATATTTTGTCATGTTTGAGTATATAAAATGTAAATGTATGTTTATTGATTATACATTCTAAAAGATATATAGGGAATGGTCTAAGTAAATAAAATCAGTTTTCATTTTAAAGATAAAATTTTCCCAGCACTGAGGTCTTCGATACTCATATTATTCACCATTCCTCAGAGATCCATTTGGTTCCAGGTGTAGGCATGAGATTTGGAGATGATCTTTGGATCATGGACACTCCTGAAAAGCTAGAAGATAGGGAAGTGTTAAAAGAGAGAGAGAGAGAGAGATAATGTCAGAGACAAAGGAAATAACTGAAGGCCACTGACTGAAGTTATAATAATTTCAGCAACAAAATTTAAATAAAAGAAACAATGTTATCACCCCAAATGCAAAATTAATATATATGAGGTCATAGTGATTAGTAATTAAAATTAAATGATTGAATAGGTAAATGGGGAGGAATGGAAAATCTTCTATATAGAATATTCAAAAAAATTTACATTAAAGGAGGTGGAACCTAACTCTCTGTTCTTTAAGCTCAGGCAGCATGATAGTAATTGGCCTCCAAAAGAGTCGAATGTGTAAAGAGGAGCTCATAGAGGGAAGAATAACTTTATATTGAGAAATCTGATAATCACTACTCAATCAAGTCATCAAATTTAACATCAACATTGATAAGTCATTTTAATAACAATTTTGATATGAAATGTGAAAAATGACATTTTATATTTGTAATCCTCCTCCCCGAAATATATTATCTCATTCTACTCATCAGAAAAATCAACAAAGAAGCCCAGTTGTGAAACATTCTAAAAACTACTTGGTCAGTATTCAGCAAAAATGTCATGCACATGAAAACCAACAAAATCTAGGTGATTTTTAAATACCAAAAGGAGACTAAGGAAATATGACTACTAAAAGTAGTATAATATCTGGGAGCAAATAAAGTCATCATGTCATTGAACAGAAGTATTTTTCTTGAAAAAGTAAGAACATTACCTTAAAAACAATAAAATAAAAATAAAGTATGAATTTTGGTTTATAATAATGTGGTGATATTGGTCCTTTAATTGTGACAATGTGTTATAATAAATAACAAGGTTTAAACCAGTTTCAAGACAGATAGGACCTTCTTGTATTATCTTTACAACTATTTGAAAAACTTAAAAAGACTGTTTTAAAATATAAAATTTAATTAAAAATAAATGATTGCAAATAAAAATTTCTGAAGTAAAATAAGTTACATTTAAAGAAAACTGAGTATATAACAGAAATAATAACTATAAATAATCATAAATATTTTAACCATTACATCGTGAATATTTTAATCTATAAGTTATAATAAAAAGAAGAAATTTTCATTTATTTTCAATGCCTTACTTTTAAAGAACACACTAAAGTGTTCAAAGGAATTTCACATAAACAAAATAGAACAAAAAGCAAGTACAACTAAACTATGATAAAATTCATGTCTCTGAGAGTATATTCTATTTTCTATATTATCTCCTATAATAAAATTCATACTATAGATACATTAGGCAGTGCTATATAAAACACATTCTAATTTATATTTTTATATATTTTTTTCAGCTAGAAAACTTGTCCTTTTATTAATGAACCTGCTATATGTTCTTCTTTCCACCTTAAACATAGCTTAATTATATTGCATATAGATGAGACCATGTGAATGAGTTTAGACCAAAATAAAATGATAGAAGCTTTAATCTAGCAGTTTGATCTATAAAAGTATACTATACAACCTTTTTGTTTGTTTGTTTTTAATAGATCAAACTGCTCTTTTCTCCTCCATTCTTTTTGGAAGAGAGATACCTAAAAACAAGAGTACCTCCATTGTGTTGAGTGAGGAAACCACAAATAAATGAAAAAAGGCAAAAGTTTTGTTGTGCTAAACCACTGTGATTAAAGAGGTTTGTTACTCACAGCAACTCACATTACTTAACTGAGAAATTGTCTTTTGAAGACTAATGGGAAAGACTTCCTTGAAGCTGTCATTGGAATTGATATTTTTTAAACCAAAGAATAAATATATTTTAATTAAGTATACAAATAATCCAATTATTAATCAATTTTCTTTGTGAAATACAAAAATAATTTCTTTTTTCTATTTTATTAATTTCTTATTTTCTGATTAATTTTATTCTGAGCCTGTTAGCAATTTAACAATATATTTCCAAAAGAATTAGAAAGAACATACATAAAAATGTAATTCCAGCAGAACACGCTAAAACTCATAACATTTAGTAAGTATTTAGTTGATTCAGTAATTTTAAAAGTTTAATTTTTAGATTTAAGGAAGTATGATTTAGCAAATTCTGTTTCATGGGAGAAAATCCAGACCTTTCCCTATTTTGTGCCTCTCACAAATATTACAACATTCATTCATTCCTATTTGTGGTTGGCTGCTGCTCTTCATGGTCATGGGACATATGTCCTCCTTGCTTATAAAACCTAAAGTATTTACTATGTGGCCCTTTATAGAAAGTATTTGCTAACCACTGGTGTAGAAAGTTCGGAAATAGGCTACATCTTTATACTAGTGCTGTGGGTTTGTTCCTACAGTGCACATTTTATCTGTGGGATCTTTATTTGCACTAATAACATATATTGTGTTAAATACACATGCATCATCTTTCTTTTAATAAGAAACAGATGACTACAGTGTGCACAATTAAATTATTATTTGTCCATTTAGAGTAAAATTTACATGAAAAGTGCATTCATTTTAAATTTATACATTTATGAACTAATTTTCTGAAAATTTAAAGATAAAAAAGAAAGTATAAAGAAGATGTGTATTCTGTTTTTTAAATATGTGAATCTGTAAGAAATGGGGACGTAAAAGTAAGGAATTTAACCTAGTGAAAACATTTTCCCATTTGTAAGGGTTACATTTCATTGCAATTTGTAACATTAAAGTATATACTACCTAAAGGAATCTATCCAAAGTGTGGACTTGATTATATAGACTGTTTATGGAGGCAATAGGAGATAATTAGAAAAATTTTGGTATAATTACTTCTGTAGAGCTGAACAATGCAGTTTGTTATATTTGTTAGTTTCTAGTATTATAATTAGATCTTCCACAAATAACATCATTTTCACACATTTTTAATGCTATATTTCTCTTTTGAAATTTTCTTTTTCAAAATAGTATTAATACACATGCCCTTAATAGAATTCTGTTTGCATGTAGTGTTCATCCACTGGACTTAGAAAATAGTACATTTTGATTTAATCTGGGCTCCCTTCCAAATTTTAGTCTTAGGGACTAAAGCTAGAAAACAAACTTAAAAATATATGTTTATTTTAAAAGAAAAGAGCTTTATTATTTTGTTTTCTATTCATTATAACTAAATTTTACTTCAGAAATAAGTGAAAAAATTTTAATAGATGCAAATGAATTTTCCTTTACCTTATTTAGGTAATTATTACTATTTATCTGTAGAAATTCTCACAATATAGATTACATATACCTTCTGTATTTTGGTTGCAATGACTTTCTACTTTAATTACAATAAGCAGATATAAAGTAGTTACTCCCATTGATACTGTTGTCATTGTCCTATGTATGCATTGCCATGATGAATCATTGCTAATTTCGCACACCCTATATTAAAGACTTCTGTGCTTAACACTTTAAAAAATAAATTCTGATAGGAATTTATCTTCCTAAGCAAAA